CTCTCTCTCTCTCTCTCTCTCTCTCTCTCTCTCTCTCTCTCTCTCTCTCTCTCTCCCCACACCTCGGACACTAAGTAGCTGTTTTGAAATTCCCTTGGATTTATACTGTTCTACGCAGACTTGATAAGTGAATTAAGATATCAGATATTTTAAAGGAAAAAACTATTTAAAAGAGAAAATATTTTGCACATTAAAAAAATGGGTTTTATGTGTACATTGGAAGAAAATTGGTCTTTGTTTGATAACATTTTAGGCAGTCTGAAAATGGAACAACTATATAAGATTAATGTTGATGGAATTATGCACATTATTACTTTTCTTATCTTTATTTTACTATTTAAAAAGATAAGTCAATTTAAGTGCCAGGATAAAAGTTTTAGAAAAACCTGTTAAAATTAATTATAGAGAAATTCAGATTCAGAAACAGCAGTGAAACTGTTTCAGGATTGGATTATAAGGTTACAGAAAGAAAGACTGTTTTCACACAATCACCCTTAATTTATCCGGTAATCTTACAGCAGCTAACCTGGTCAAGTTAATGCACAAAATATTTGGACTCCAGTTGAAATGTTAGATGTATGTAGGTTTAAGGAGGCAGTAGTACCTTATGGCATGCATTCCACATATGTAAAGCAAATGTTAAACTCCTGGTCAATTTATACTAAGATTATACCACAGGAATGGAGGGAGCTGGCACATGATGTTCTGGAACCCAGAGCACAACTATAGTGGCAAATGTGGTTCAAAGAGGAAGCTAAAAACAGAAAAACAATGGAGGGATAAAGGTACACAAATCTTCCAGATCAGCTAGTTGGAGAAGGCCAATATGCTGCAATACAAACACAGTGTTTATATGATATCCAAACCCTAATTCTATGTTGAATGGCAGCCTTGAATGCATGGGACAGAGCTGAGGAACCAGGAAAGAAAATTGAATCATTTACAAAGGTTATACAGGGCCCAAAAGAATCTTTCACAGATTACTTACAAAGACTGACTTCAGCAGTAAAGAAAATGGTCCAGAATTCAGAAGCCAGTCAGATAAAAATCTTTGGCTTTTGAGAACGCGAATGCAGCATGTAAGAGAATAATCAAGCCGTTAAAGGCAAGATCTACACTCTTGGAAGATTGGATTAAAGACACGTTTAATGTTGAGTCTCATGACCATGATGATATGTGGATGGATAGGAGAAGCAATTTTAAGAAGTTTGAGGAATGTCAGATGTTTTGGATGTGGAAAGCAAGGACATTTGAAAAGGGACTGTAAACAGGGCATTCCTAGAAACAATGTTTCTTCAAGGAACAATGGCAACAGAATGCCCCTTCCTTCTGGAGTATGCAGAAGGTGTGGTAAGGGAAAACACAGGACCAACGAATGTAGATCAACAAGGGACAGGCAAGGTAATACTTTGCCTCGGTCTTTGAAAAAATCTCAGAGGAACCTCATGCAGGCCCCCACAGCAAATCCAGCTCAGACCTTTCCTGCAGTCATAGAGGAAACCCCTACTCAGAGCAATTAAATAACCAAATGCCTATTGGAATAAATCAGGCTGCTCAGGAGGATGAAACAGAACAGAAAATTCAGGAAAAACCATAAAGAAAATTTTTTGGCAAACTTCTATAAATGAACAAAGACCAAAATTAACAAGAATAAATGGTGTTTTGTTGTCTGGTCTGGTAGACACAGGTGCTGATGTGACCATAATTGCACCAGAATTTTGGTATCCAACTTGGCATCTTCAGGAGGTAAACGATCAACTGTTAGGAACTGGAACATTATCTCAAGTAAAACAGAGTGCAAGATGGCTCAAATGTATAGGTCCAGAAGGACAGAGGGGAAAATTAAAACTGTATGTGGCTAACATAGCTATGAATCTGTGGGGTCGAGACTTGTTGAAACAATGGAAACTCAGATTAACATCCCTCCAACCTTAGAAATAAATCATAAACTAGCACATATTTCTGAGAGAAATATTAGAAGATATTATTCTAATGAATGGTCACCAGCCATCCATATTATACAAGAACAGGGAACAAGAACTGATGATCTTCCAAAGACACCAACAGCTCTACCTTTAAAATGGTTAACAGACATGCCTGTATGGGTTCATCAATGGTCCTTAACAACAGAGAAATTCCAGGCTTTAGAAGAGCTGGTAAAAGAACAGTTAAATGCTCAGCATATTGAAGAATCAACCAGCCCTTGGAATTCTCCTGTATTTGTTATTAAAAAGAAATCTGGTAAATGGAGAATGGT